TCCCCTCTACCCAGGTTAACTAACATCTCTATAGCATCAGAGGGATACTCAGTACCATACAGTCAGGCAAGCCTGACAGAGCTGGGAGAGATCAGGTCCTTCCCCTACAGTCAACCCTTAGAATCTATACAGGGGTCGTATGGAAGGTTTTTATAAAGCACCAGCCGCTCCTCTTCCCCTCTCCCTCCCGCCCCAAAATGCAGGGAACTTTTTCAAGCCCCTCCGCACATGCTTTTTCCCCCCTTCTCCATTAAGGCACCAGCCTGCTATTTAAACCTCTCTAGTGTTTTCCTCTCAATGCCCAAGTGTTACTGCCTCTCCAGCTCTCCCTGAAGTGGGCAGCAACCAGCTGCTGCTCTCTAGGCAAGGGAGTGGCTGCATCAAGAATGCAGCCCCTGGAGGTTTCTCTCCCTCCCTCTGAGCAGCTCTCTAGATTCCAGAGTGCTGAGACATGTCCCACGGAGATGCTGCAGCAATGAGTCTAGGCTCTCTGGGGCAGCAAAAAGGATGTGTAAGCAGGGTCATCTTGGGGCACGTTCTTCCAAGGAACCCCTGGAGTGTGCCAAATGGGAGAACACACATTAAAAGCCAAATCCAGTGTCCCTTTTCATCTCCCCTCCACCCACGCCTGTTTTGTCCACTGTCTTGGATGGGAACACTGTCTGGCATCCACTGAGATACATCTTTATCTTTAAAAGATGAGATGATTCATAGTATTAATGCTCCCTTACTATTAAATGCATTTTTAAATGATTTCCTCTCTCCAAAAGGCATCCGTATTTAGAGCAATAGCTCATACACCAGGGTGGATAATTCATTAACAATTACTGTATAGGAAAGGTGAAAGCAAATGCATTCCCCCTTCTCTCAGGATTCATATCCTCCATAGGAGGATGACTTCACACCCCATTCCAGCACAGTTCTTTCTCAAGTTATTACCACCTTCTTCTCACCCTAAGTGAAAGGATTTGAAAAGCACCTTCCACTCAGGCCCTCAAAGCCTTTAAAAAACACTGATTAAACCTCATAGCAGCTCTGCCAGGTCAGTACTACAGCTAGGGAAACTGAGACAGGGTGCTGAAAAGGTCACATACAAGTCCATGCAGAGATGGGAACAGAACACAGATCTCCTGATGCCCTGCCCTGCTTTAGCTAGTCTTCATTCTTCTTAATAGTTCAACGTTCATTGCTATTATAGGAAGGCAAGGATTCTGCCATATTACTATTTTGTCATACCATTCTAGTTAAGTACTTTCCTTGTTAAGTACTTTCCATAAGACTCTTGCTATCTTTCAAGTGATGAAGATTTTATTTGTATCTGGTTTACCTATGTACTTCTTTCCTCAATAGGCATTTGCACAGAAGTCATGTTTCTTCTCCAGCCTCAATTCTGTTTGTGCCATCACCTTCACCTCTAGTGCAAACTAAATTCATTGCCATCAACAGAAGTAAATGTCAAGAAGAAGAATCAGAACAGATGAATTAAGGAACATAGGCCCAGAGCCTCAGATTTCAATGGGAGTTTGGCACCTAAATAATTTGAAAGGCCTAGGCCACAGTTCCTTTTTATATGCCAGCATCCACAGTAACAAGAAAATAAAAGGTATTGGAAAATCTGATGTAGAGGGGTTTCTAGAACTTTTAGACATTACTAAAAGTCTCTGGACCAATAAGCATATATTATATTTGCCATGAGGCTTCATTGAGTCTTTAATATCTCTTCGACGTGGGCCTGCTGTTTTCTATGGAAACTGGTACAAACAATAAGAATAGTGATGGTCTAGGAGTGAGCTGATGCTTTAGGAAGGTGCAATGGATTTGCTAGAGAAGTTTGTACATTGCTGCATAGATCACAAGTCCAGCAGTAACAGGAAGCTTAAGTTCTCTGGGGGGGGGGGGGGGGCGAAGAGAGAAAGAGTTACACTTCTCCAGAAGCTATATAAAGCTAGTCTTTAAAATATCCTTGAACTGAAACATTCACTGAAAATACATGGCTTCACGCTTGAGGCAGTGCTATGTGTCAGAGTGCACCAACAGCACAACGAGCAACTATAGTTTATCTGACCCCTCCAGAGCCATAACTAAAGAACAGCCTCTCTTTCACTAGGATGTCCCACTCTTATGGTTTTGTCTAACAAGCACAGCCATTAAATAACCTCACCAAGAAAAACAATCTCTGCTGCACTCAGGCTTCCTGGTACATTTGTTTCCAGGCACTGGTGAAACAAACTTCACTTGTAAATACACTGTCTTATACCAATAAGTTCAACTATTCTTCCTACTCACATCCTGGTTGGTGGGGATGCTGGTTAGCTGCTGCCCCTTGCCCCACATGTGGATGCATTTAATTATGCTTGGATTAGCCAAATGCTCGGTCACATCTATGAAACCCCACTGAAGTCAGTTAGTTGCATGGTATAACCCAGGAGATAGTTCTGGGAGCAGCTTGTGAAGTTGGATTGTGCCCTTTTTCCATAAGGAGACCACTCGTCACTTGATAAAGGAGAAATCACACATTCAGATGTGAACTGGATGGCTCACTGCAGTCAGAAGCAGATTTGTGATATATACCAGAATGGCCTTTAGTGCTGGTATTTCAGATGCTGCCAACCACCAAGCTATTTTGTTGGACACCAATTACACAACTCCTCTTTGGACATTAGCTATACAACCAATGCCAAACACTCGGTTGAAAGGATGTTATGGCTTCTCTACAATGTAGACAGGCATTCAGTGCCTTCTGCCCAGCTGTAACATCAGACCTTCCTTCCTTTACTGGCTTTTAAATACAGAAACCCCCCACCCCTTGGGTGATGTGATGTTTTTCCTGTTTAACTCCATGTGTGGATGCTTATTCCAGAGTAGGAGTATCTGGAGAGAGTTAAGCAGGAACAGCTCCGTGCCTACACAGGACAATATTTTAGAGATGCTCCAAGCTGTTTGGGAACAGCTTTCCAAAGAGCAGAATCAGGAAGTAGGCAGACTGAAATCTACTCATTCAAGATTTGAATAGAATCCTGACTGGAGAGACAATGATCATCTTATGATCCACCCTTCTGCTCAAGAACAGGGCCCCCTCTCAGCCCAAAACTTTCCTCAGTGAAACCATGGGAAGGGAGCAGCAAGAGAGGGTTCTCATGGGCACATCCCCAAAAAAGTGTCATAAATTAAAGGATTAAAGTCTCCCTGAATCCAGCTCTCTTCTCCCCACCAAGCTCAGTTCTTTTTTCACCTCTGCTAGTTGGTAGCCCTTTTCAATAGAGGACTGAAGACTTTGATTGAAGGTGAACTGAAAAGGGAAAGGTGTGGGGGAGGAAGGGAGGGCCTTGGACTTTTTTTTGGATGTAAGACGTTGTGAAAGGTTTCCCCCTCCCCCCAAAAAAGTTAGTTAGATACAAACTCAATTCTTAATATATCAGCCTGTGTCGTTCAAGCCATACATCACAACAGTGAAACTATATTGAGATTAAAGTTAAAAAGTACTTGACCCAGAAAACAGTTGGAGAAAATCTGTCATTGTTAAAGGTAACATGCAAAGTCGGTGTTTTGTTTTGAAAACAGAGCAAGATGGGCCCCAATGGTTTTTTCTCCCCAAAGGCAAGATTTTTCCCTCTCCTGGTTGTCCAATACCCTAGAAGTGCCAAGTCTGGTCCTTACATGGTTTTGCTAGAGGACTTGGGGGCTTCAGGGCATTTTTTTTTTTTTTAAGTCTCAAAACAGTGAGTCTTTATCAGATACATCACTTATCCAAAACATTAAGGAATGTCTATTTAACTACATCCACACAAAAAGTAATTATCTAGACGGCCACAAAAATCCCTTCTCTTAATTGCTCAACTTTCACTCGTGATATCAATTCACTAGTTGTCCAGTCTTCCCAGACAGACAAGAACTTACTTTGTATTTTTAAAAGAGGGGGGATAAAAAGATGTTTCAGGCTGTTTTGATATAAACCAGCAGCAAAACAGGAAGGCATAAACTCATTTCCACCCACATTTGCATGGTATTTTTAAGTATTAAATCTTCATTTATCAATTACAGGCTGAAAAGACTCCCATTACTAAGACCAACAAGTCTTCCAGCAAAACAGCACTTTCCTTTGAAAAATTCTCTATGCATTATGAAATAAGGTTACACACCCATTTTCTCCCTCTGCAAGTCACCTTTAATTGTAACCTGAACATACTTTGGAAATAACAAAAGCCCTTAAAACGTATAGCTATTTTAAGTAGTACTGAAGCAGTACTCAGAACTATATAGAAGGGCTGTTCTACAGAAGTACTGTAAGCACTCACAATTGGTGTCTACCACAGAAGTGGGTGAGCATGTTCTGAGGAATAGGAACCAGGGGCGGGGGCGGAGGAGAGAGAAAGAGGAGGAAACAATTACTTGAGTAGGTTAAGTCAGATATCCCTACCGAACACTAAGAACTGACAGCAAAATTTGACAGCTATATAGAACGTTATGTGAGAAAATTCAAGTTTGGGAGGAGTAGTCTAAGCGCTGTTTTGGCATAGAGCAACTGTTCTCAATGCAGTGAGGTAGGAGGTGCTAAGGTAACAATTTTGCACATTGACTATTTTCTGAATAAGAGCTCAAACTGCTCCAGCCCTATCCCATTCACGAGTACATTACTAAAAGTCTCTGGACCAATAAGCATATATTATATATAAGAAGAACTCAAGATCCATTCAGCACTTCCTCCTCAAACCTCACTAAAGTCAGTGGGCAGTTTGCCCAAGTACAGCGCTGAACAGGGAATAGACTACAGCAAGAGGTAATTCAAATGACTCAGTCAACTCTTGGAGGGGTTTTCATCATCTTCCCGTAACAGAAGGTTCCTTTATACACAGTTCACAGAGGAGTTGGAACCAAAACCACCCCTCTAGCTGTGCAGGGTGGATACAGGCCACAGCCACATAACCACACCCATTCCATTGCTATCTACCCAGCCCTCAACCTCCCTCTCCGGCCAAGCGGCTACAGAAACAGGACTACACTTAAACAGCTGCAAAATATTTAATACGTGTTACACACGTAGAGTTACAGTTATACAAAAACAAAACACATCAGTGGAGGAGAGAATACTGTACAAGAGCCCCAGCACATCCCCAAGCCTTTATAGAACAAAGACCAGGAGTGACCAAGCCTCCTCCAAAAGGAACAATGACTTTGTCAGTCTGTAAACTTTTTGTTCACTGCGTTAATCATTTTAAAGCACCATGTAAAAGTTCCGACTTCCAGCTTGTCAAAATATAAGCTTCCAATCAACTTTACTCTCTCCCAGCTTAAAGTATTATCTGGGGGAGTCCTCCAAATGTTCAGGATGGAAACAGCCTATGGAAGATTTCACCCTGCGGGCAGGATGTTCGGGCTGGGGAGACATGAAAGGGGATTTCCGGCAGGAAAGGCGCCACATGGGAGGGCAAAGAGTCGCACAGGCAAAGCCCTAGGTGGGAAAGAGCGCGGGGGAGGAGATCGCGGCATGTCCGTGTGCGGGGAAGGGAGAAGTGAAGTCCTGCTGCTGCCCCGGTCAGTTCCCAGGGCGGCGGGGCAAGGCCCAAAAGTCCCCAGCGTGTCTCAGAGCTTCCTGCCTGCTTTGAGGCAAGCCAGTCCCGGCCCCCCGCCCGTCGGTGCCGCGGGGCAGGGGCGGCCGCGCAGAGCAGCCAGTCCGCGGCGGGGCTCAGAAGGCCACGATGGCCGTGCTCCAGGGGTTGAGGCTCCGCAGCACCGGCTGCTCGCAGCAGACCTGCCCCGGCTCACTCGCCTCCGCCGCGCCGCGCTCCTTGCCCACCAGCCCCGAGAAGCCGGAGCCGAAGATGCTGATGAGGCTGGCCACGTTGCCGGTCTCCATGTCCTCCTGCGGCGGGGGCGGCGCCGCCTCACGCCGCGGCTTCTTCCCCGGGGAGCCCGCCGCCTGGCCCCGCTCAGCTGCGCTCCGCTTGCGAGGGGACTCGGCCGGGCACTCCGCCCGGCCCCGCGCCGCCGCCGCCGCCTCCGAGTCCAGCGGGCGGCAACCCCGCCGCAGCCTCTCGCAGTCCGGGGGCGGCGGCGGCCCCGGGCGGGGCGGCAGGGGGCACTCGCCGCCGGGCTCGCCCAGGTAGACCCGGCGGGCGCTGCGCAGCACCAGCGACACCAGCAGGTTCTTGTGCAGCTTGAGGCCGCCGCGCTGGCCCCGCGCGCTGTAGATCTTGCCCAGCGAGATGCTGACGATGCGATGCGCCTCCAGCCGGAACTCCATGGCGCCGCCGGCCCCCAGCCCGCGCGCTGCCCGCTCGCGCCGCCGTCTGAAGCAAGCCCAAGCCCCAGGACCGCTTTATATAGCGCCTCCGCCCGCCGGCCAATCAGAGCACCCCGCCGGTTGCGCTAACAGCCGACTGGCCCCCCTCCACTGTCCTCCACGCGCCCGCTCTGGCCAATGGGGAGGGAGGGAAAGGGTTCGAACGCTAGCCCCGCGGAGAGGGCTCTTAAAGGGGCAATGATAGAGCAGGTGGGGAGCCCATGACCGGCAACAGCCGACCCTGCGAGGGTCGGGCGAGGGGGCGCGCTGGCTGTGCAGAGCGGCTGCCACCATCCCTGCAGTGCCGCAGCCTCGGATCCTGTCCCAGACACCTTGTCAGGCGGCTGGTCCCGAGTCTCCTCTCGTTCACCCCCTCGATGTTCATGCAGCAACAACCGCACTGTCTGCTGGGGGCGTGCGAGGAGAGCTTGGGCCAGCGGTTTGCCACTGGGAAACTGCAGGCTGGCCAGTGCAATCAGGAGAGCAGTTTGGGCTGAGCACGTGCAAGCCCCCAGGACTCATCTCAGGCATGGAACATACTGCACCTCTGCCTCGCAGATCTTCCAGTGAGTCCTGTCCCTTCCCCCCTTCCAGAGTCAAAAACACAAGGTGAAAGGGAAGGGGGAAAAGAGATAGGCTGTTTGGCTGAGAAAAAGGAAAAGGAGGCGCTCTCTCACCCTTCCAGACACAACTGGATGCTCACCAAATTAGCCCCACCCCCCGTGATGGCATGGGCAAGCCCCAGCCCTTACCCCACCTGACAGAAGTCCCAGATTTCCTTGTGCTCATTTGTGTAAATTTGGTGCTGCTGAAAACTGCCATATTCCAACGGAGGTTATCTATCGGTCTGTCCACACTGCAATTGGAGGTGTGATTGCAGCTTGCTTAGGCATACCCGGAAATTTCAACACTAGAGTTCAGCGTGAGTCAGATCTCTGGAATGGCACTCGCGGAAAAGAAGGAGTAGGAAAGACCAATTCCAACGGCATCCTCCTGAGCAAATGAGTAGAACATGGCCTGGTCATCTCGAACTCCCTCTTTAGACAAAGTGAGAAGTAAAAGATCAGCCTGGAGACACTCTTACTCCAGGCACTGGCACCTTCTTGACTACATTATCGTCAGAGCTCGAGATTGAAAGGATGTCCACTTCACAAGGGCCACACATGGAACCGATAACTGTTGAACAGACCACCACCTTGTTAGATCCATCATGAATTTCCAGATCATGTCAAGGCATTGTAATCATGCAAAATCAGTACAAAAGAAATTAATCATCAAGTCTCTTCAAGATATAGTGACTTGGGAGAAAATTCAGCAGTGTCTTCAAGAGAGGTTCTTTAACATGCCTTGTGTGGTCATGGCGTGGTGAGGGAGAGAGATCTCCCAGTGCCCTAAAAAAACCACCTCCACAAAGGGCATAGCTACCAGCGCTGGAAGCGCGGCTCCCAGTGCTGGTGCACTGTCTACACTGGCGCTGAAACTTGCTATGCTCAGGGGGGTGTTTTTCCACACTCCTGAGTGAGAAAGTTGCAGCACTGTAAATTGCCAGTGTAGACAAGCCCTTACTAGATCCCCTCTGGAGGAAGACTCACCAAGCTGCAGCAGCTAGCTGTGGGAGCCTGCAGGAATGGTCAGAACAGGGACAGGAAGAGGCAGGAGGGTGGACACTAAGACCCATGGGTGCCCCAAATTTTCGGGTGCCCTACGCAGCCACGTATGCTGCGTATGCGTAGGGACAGCCCTGTGTATCCTCTTAAACTGATCGCTTCCCCTTGCTGAGGAAATATTGCTGGAATTGTAGTGCGGTTTCACACCATCCTGCAGGACAACCAACATAGTCTTCGTTGCCCACCAAATCCAGGAAGTCTCAGGAGCAAAATCAGGACCTGCACTTGGCTTTCATTGATTTGACAATGGCCATCAACTCCATCAATTGTGAAGCCCTCTGGAGGGTGCTGTCCAGACGGTTGCCCTCCAAAATTTATTAAGGTCCTAAGGCTTCTTCACAATCAGATGACTGCCACCATTCTCTGTAATGGCTTGGAGACGGACCCTTTCATCATCAAAACTGCCAGATTCTCGCCTCCCAAAACAAACCCTCTACTCTCAGCTCACGTATGGTCAGAGATCTTGTGGTGGTCAGAGGAAATACACTTTAAGCGTAGCTTTGTCGTATCTCAAGAAAACTGATGTGGACATCACAAACTGGAGGAGCAAGCCACAAACCGAACTCACTGGCATCACAGCCTCCATCAGGCAGTGGACTGCTTCAAGAAAAGGTGCCTTGTTCTCAAAGCTGAAAACAGAGAGAGGAGAAAGAAAAAAGTTTCTCCTACCAGGCAGCTGACCCACCAGGAAATGTCTGTACCTATTGCAGGTGGATCTGTGGTTCCAGAATCAGACTCCTGAGTCATCTCAGGCATCCATCTGTAAATCCATGGCAGAGATTGTCCTCGAATCGAGGACCCACCAGTAATGAGACATACCCTATGCTGGCTTTAATCTAGCTAGTGGAGCTAAAAATAGCCGTGAAGATGCAGCAGCACAGGCTGTAACAGACAGCTCGGCACTCTGAGTACATACTCACATTGCTAGCCCATGCCGCAGACAGAGACGGATTAACTCAGAGGCTAATAAGACTATAGCCTTAGGCCCTCCGATTTTTAGGTCCTACTGTAGGCCCTCCATTCCATATTGAAGGAACAGCTGAGTGACAGTAGCGGGGCCATTGGAAATTTTTTGTCTCATTAGACATTACTTGGTACAAATTAATCCATCAACAGTGAATTCAGTTTATGGTGGTTGTGATTTTGTCTTTGTGGGCTAAGTAAGTGTTTGTGGGCCCAAGCAATATTGAACTTTGCACACAGTAAGCCTACACTGGACAATAGACACCATGTCGAAGAAAGGAGGATGGCAGAAATTGAAGGAGGCCAAAGAAAGATGGGAAAAACAAGATGTAGTGCTGAAAGGTACTCCTTCTCTCCTAGTGTTTTTTCCTCCTACTAAGTCTGGTGGTGAGGAAGTTGTGGCGAATATCAGCCCAAGTGAATCCACTGAGCCTGCGCCTGATGAAAAGGAGCAGCCTCCTGTGACTTCTCTAGCTGCAGTCTCAACCCACTCCTCTGAAGACTTTCCCAATGACAGTAATACAAAAATATCCTTCTCCAATGATCCAGGCAAGTGGGACATGACTTCTCAAGATCTCATTGCATATTAGACTGAGAAGGGCCCACAGAAACTCCAGACTCTAAATGCCAACTTTTCATTGACAAAGCAAGAGTACACCAATCAGAATTGTTATCTGACCAAATCAATGTTTGAATATGTGAAGCCTAACAAACAGATTGGCAAGCGAGAATGGCTCATCTATTCGACTTCTAAGCAGAAAATGTACGGTTTTTACTGCTTCTGTTTTCTGATACCAAAAAGTGGGGAATGTTTTCCGAAGGCTTCAGTGATTGGAAGAATACTGCATACATTACCAATCATGCAATGAGTGAGCAGCATACATTGTCAGTTAGCAGCTACAATGCTCAAAAGAAAGTTAGTGGCACAATTGATACCCAAATGGAAACCAGTTTTTGGAAGCTTGTGCTTATTGGAAGAACATTCTCAGACGCATAGTTGAAACCATAGCTTTTCTTGCTGAGCGTGGTCTGCCATTACGTGACACAGATGAGACTGTTGGATCGAAACACAATGGCAATTACCTTGGTGTACTAGAGATAATCGCTAAGTTCAACCCTTTCTTAGCTCAGCACGTCAATGGAAAAGGCCATACATCATATCTACCAAAGACTATTTGTGATTAATTCATTGCACTGCTGGCAAAGAAGACGCTATCAGCCATTGTAGATGAGATCAAAGATGTGGGATATTCTTCAGTGTGCATCGACTCAACACTGGATGTGTCACATGTCAGCTGACTGTCATCTTGCATTATGACAGGTTTCAGAGGAGCAGCCGTGTTAGTCTGTATCCGCAAAAAGAAAAGGTGTACTTGTGGCATCTTAGAGACTCTAAGGTGCCACAAGTACTCCTTTTCTTTTTTACAGAACTCTGCTCTTTTCACATTCTGTCGTAACTCTCTCACCTGCTATTTGTGACAAATCACACTTAATCAGCATTACTTGTCCCACTCTTGGGGTTTTACAAATGACTCTGATTTCTCATGCTAGTGAGAGACAGACAGAAGGGGAACTGCAGTTTTCTGAGGCTTTTCAGACTTGTCCCTGGATTCCTAAGCATTTTTTCCCACCCTTGAGTGCCACCCTCACCAACATATGAAGGCTATAAATGGAGTCAGCTGGGGGTAGGAATAGCAACATCTGTGGACTGAAATGCAGTGGACAAGGAAAGCTTTTCAGAGGAACAGAGTGGAGAATTAGCGTAATTATTCAGCTGAAAATGAGGGACTTGTCCTTCCTACATAGGCAGATGTGGCAGTGATGGAATTTCTCCATGATAACATATGTGAACTCCCATTTATTTACTGAATTCATTTCCATTCCTTTGGTTGTGTTCCCACCCTTCCAACCCACAAAATATCAGCTTTTGCGTGCCAGTGACTCCTGTCCTGAGAGCTGATGTTCACTGGCAATAGGAACTGCCACCAAATTCTGGCTTTCTGAAGGTGCAGTTGATTCTGACAGTAATAAAAACCAAGGGAGGAATAAGCCATAAATCATCAGAAAGCATCTTACACTGGAGGAGTTAACAAAAGACCCTCAACTTCATGTTCTCCTCTAGCTCATCAACTCTATATTTAAAGTCCAAAATACTGCTCTATGAGATTTTCCTCCTGAAAACAATGGAACCGTCTCCTAAACAAAGCACAGTTCATGGTTTGGCATCCAATTTTCCCCCTTTCCACAAGACTGCCACAATTCCCCCTCCCCATTAGTATAACATCATAGCCTCAAAATGGGCAATTTGTGACATCTACAATGGTACACAAACTCTTTTGTGACTTGAAAATTATTTCTATCTCTTTTGTGCCTCCAGCCCTTCTTGAGTTATGGAGAAG